AAAAATAAACCCCATATTTATATAAAAAATATTATAATAAAATTAAAAAGAATACTATTGATTTTAATTTTCCCTTTCGATTCTTTTGTATCATTTGTTTCCTCTGTAGCTTTTTTTTTATACCTAAAATAGAGTTTGATATTTTGATCTTGCAAGTCTTCCGAAAACAAAAGAGAATACGGAACTCTCTCTCTCTCTCTCTCTCTCTCTCTCTCTCTCTGCATAGACCCATCCTCTGTTTGCAGGTACTTTTGTAGAATTAACTCGTCAAAATCACAACAATTAGTATCCCGACAGAGTGACGAACCCGAGAATTCGCTTTCTAGAGTTCAATTTTAGCTTCATAATCTGCATCTATTTGATTCTTTTGGGTACTGATCCTTTGATCCTTTCTGGGTTTGGCGGTGAATTGTCGTGACCGCATTTTGGTTGAATTTCTTGAATCTGTTCATGCATGGAATCTTGATTTTATCTACTTTTGTCTTGTCGGAAACACGAACTTGTGTTTTTCTCGGTTATGCCCAGATTAGTTTCCTCCGATACAGTGACAAATCCGATGAAATTCGTTTTGGAATCAGTTTTATTTCACGAATCTGGCTGTTTCCTAGCATGAGTATATGGGTTGATCACTACCCATATCGTGATTCTATTGGAATACATATCTTGACTGTGTTCATGAGTGGATTTGATCCATCAGCTTTCTTTTTTCCTCGTCTTAAGCATGGATATATGTTTTAATCATCAATTTGGTAATTCTCATACTTCATTTGATGAGTCCTCGATTTGATGATTGAATTTTGTTTGGTTTCTTGATATCGAAATTCCGAGATCTACTCCTGGGATTATGTCGTGTATTTTCGGACACATCTTGTTGATCTTTGCTCGAACCACAGAACATCGATGGTACTGACCGGTTCACGCCCAGATGGTGTTCGGCTGTGTTTCATCAATCCGAGCTTTTCAGTGTCCACTTAACATTGTCGTGTTTATCAGCTTTTCATCTCAGTTCAAAATATAAGATATGTAGGACGTAAAAATGCATAGAATCATTGACAAAATGGTCCATTAATGCATGTACCATCTTACTGAACGGTGTTGTTATTACTTATTAGGACCTATTGATTTGGTGCAGATTAATCGGATCATCAATGGCGCAAGAAGTGAACGGGTTCAAGTTGGAGCAGAGGCACGGGAAGGCGAGAGTGAGAGTGGGCAGAGTCTGGCGCCACACTCACGATGGGTCTCATCACTTTGTCGAATGGAATGTCAGTATCAGCCTCCTCTCTCACTGTCTCTCCTCCTATGCAAATGATGACAACTCTGAAATTGTCGCCACCGATACCATGAAGAATACTGTAAGTAGATCTTTCTGTGTTCTGTAATTGTAAATTTTGCTTCTGGTGATGTATTGATTGATTATCAATGAGACCCACATGGTTTGTTTTGATAAAGCTCTTAAGCTCCGATATAGGTTTATGCGAAAGCCAAGGAATGCACGGAGCGGATTTCTGCGGAGGAATTTGCCATTTCTCTTGGTAAACACTTTTGCTCATTTTATCCACAGGTATGCACAACTAAATATTTCTTGTAAAGATTGACCAAGTATACTCTTTGCTTGTTATTTAGTTTTTGTGTTGTTGCTTGATCGGTAAATTAGTCCCTTTCTTCATTCTTTACCAGGTTTTCACTGCCATTATTAACATTATCGAGAAGCCTTGGGAGCGTGCAACTGTAGGTGGAAAGCCGCATATTCATGGTGGGTTTCCAGGCCAATGTTTTTTTTAAAACCAGTCCTCTCCTTTGTACGAAAATCGGCTACTTCTAATTTGATAGCTTTCTCGATCATTGCTTTGTTGAAGGTTTCAAGCTTGGATCAGAGATGCATACTGCCGAGGCAATAGTACAACAGTCGGGTGCATTGAAGCTAACTTCTGGTATCGAAGGATTATCTCTCCTGAAGACAACCCAGGTAGTTACAAACACTTTGGCAGTTATATGTTGGAGAACATTTCTGATATAATCACTAGATAAGAGAGCTACATGTTCTGCTCGGTCTTTTGACCAGCATTCACTTTACATTTCGTTTCTTTAGGATGCTTTCCTTTCTGAGAGCCATGGAAGAATCCTGTGCTCCGGGGAGTCCCCGGGTGCATTGAAGTTAACATCTGGTGTCGAAGGATTATCTCTCCTGAAGACAACCCAGGTAGTTACAAACACTTTGGCAGTTATACGTTGGAGAACATTTCTGATATAATCACTAGATAAGAGAGCTACATGTTCTGCTCGGTCTTTTGACCAGCATTCACTTTACATTTCGTTTCTTTAGGATGCTTTCCTTTCTGAGAGCCATGGAAGAACTTCTTTAACAGATCTCGGGTGTTTTTTTTTGTTAAACCTTAAGAGATTTCATGTTGAATTTAGTTGTTGAACACTGATACATGCCAGAATTAAGATCTGTTATTTGATTGCATTCACTAAGTTTGTTTTCATGGTAATGAACAGTCAGGATTTGAGGGCTTTGTGAGAGACAAGTACACTGTTCTGCCTGAAACTCGCGAAAGAATGCTGGCAACCGAAGTCAGTGCATCGTGGAGGTGGATTGATATTTTTCGTTATTTCGTTTTTGTTCCACTTCCCTGGTGACGAATTCTTATAACTGACTATGCGGATGCATACATATACGGAGTACCTCTCAGTGAAATAGAGTGACTTTCCCGGAACAGCTGACACCGAATCATATGAGTACCTGTATATATATGTATGCATCCGCATAGTCAGTTTGGTGACGAATTCTTATAACTGACTATGCGGATGCATACATATATATACAGGTACTCATATGATTCGGTGTCAGCTGTTCCGGGAAAGTCACTCTATTTCACTGAGAGGTACTCCGAGGTCAAGAAAGCCCTGATGGAGACTTTCTTCGGCCGTCCAGAAGTCGGTGTGTATAGCCCATCGGTCCAACGCACTCTATATCTCATGGGAAACACTGTGCTGAGAAGGTACTCATCGGAAATGGTGGCTCGATGAAATTTTCGAGACATTTTTTAGATTTGATTGGTGAATCTATTCCTTCCCCAGGTTCGTCGATGTATCGTCGATCCACCTGAAAATGCCGAACATCCACTTTTTACCTGTAAATCTCTCAAGCAAGGAAAACCCTTCAATGGTGAAGGTAAGAATCATGAACTTCTCTGTTCTTTGGGCCCTTTTTCAGTTAAATAAAAAGACAAACAGAGTAATCAGAAGATTTAACAGTTCTTTTAACATGTAGAGCTAAACTTCAGTTTGTTGGAGGACAGATTTAGTTCTTAAAAATGATTCTTTTCTAGAGGGTTTTGTCTTAGAGCCTCTTCTCTGTTTCCTCTGAACCTCAAACTGTGAACTGAGTTTTGACATTTTGAGGTTTAGGGTTTGACGAACGGTTATAACGTCGGGTTTTTGCAGTTTGAAAACGACGTGTTTCTACCGACGGATGAGCCTCACGGATCGATAGAAGCAACGTTAAGCCGTCTTACGTCGAAAATGTAAGGTAGGTAAGGCAGTTTGGTCTCCCTCCAGTGAGGAAGCAAAACAGAGCAAACTACTCCGTTTTTACATATTCTCCTGATCAATGCAACCTGCCGGCTTTTGTCTGAATGAGGCGGCCATTGTTAAGACGTTTTGGTGGCTCCGTGTTGTAATGTTGTGTCGAATTATATTATATTATATTATGTCAGTTTACAGTTTGATTATGTTTTGATTTAGTACTAATTATACAGACATTGGAGGGAAACCCAATCTTAGCTCATTTATATTTTTTTTTTCTCTTAAATTTCTGTTTTTTTAGTTAATAGTGGGGGATTGTGGGTTGAATAAATCTTCTACTAGAAATCTATTTTAAATTATGTATTTGGTGAACTTGTATAATAAACAAATAGCTACAAATAAAAATCTTCTCTTTTTTTTTTTTTTAATCTCTAAGAGTTATTCAACCCACAATCCCCACTATTAAAAGTCTACTTTTTTATATTTGAATAAACTAACTGATTCGTTTCGAGATGTAATGGCTCAACTCCCTCATAAAATTGTTTTCATCAAATAAAATTATAAAAATAATCATAAATTTTTTTTATATGCATATTTATTTCGTGTGTGACATTTGTAGGCGGACTAGTAACCATTTCCATTTCATTAAAGACTATATCTTACTAGAGGAATACGGAAAAGGAAGTGTATCTTTTACTGAATTATTTGATAGTTGGTTCGTGATCCATTAAAAAGATATATATATACACACATACACACCCAAATCGATTAAAACAATACAAAAGATGAAATCAGAGGCCGAGGAAACACAGATTTGAGACAATTTGCAGAAACAAAGAGGAGAATTTAAGGTAATGAAAGAAGATCATCAACCATCTCTGTTGAAAACTCTGCAGCTCCTCCTGATCTCGCCCTCGTTACCAGTAAGAACACCAATCGTGCCCATCTTCACCATGGCTTGGGTGAATCTTCGAGCGAAGAGCGTGTTGCTCGAGGCGAAACTCAGCACGAAAGCCCGGGTTGATACATCAAGAGCAAGGCTCTGATCGATCCTTAAGATCGCCCTTTGCCTTAGACTCTCTATGTAGAGTCCGTTGTCCACTGTGAGTGGAGTCAACTGGTCCAAGAACACTAAAGGGTCATTCGGGCCACTGCATGTGTTCCTCAGCCTGCAAATATACCGTCATAAAGTTTGCGCCTTTAATGGTCTTTTCTTTCGTTAGTACGAATCTTTGTGTTTTTCTCGGGAAAACCGAAACTTTTCACGTAATATTTTATGTTCAAAAGACGTGTCTCGTTATAAATCAAGATATATATATATATACACATACATAAAGTTCAGTGAGGGATCCATGGCTGGATCGCGGAGCCGGTCTTGGAAGAGGCTGCAACGGGCAACACCGACGCTGTGGCCTCCACCGATAAGTGTAACCATGTCATCGATATTGAGTCCTTTATCGGCGAAGAGCTGAACGGAGGCAGGCACGGGAATGGTGGGACCCGGCAAATCGACGACCTCCGGGTTTGAGGTGAAACCGTCACGTCTTCCCGTGGGCACAAGGTAGGTTGGACCGCCGGCTAATTCCACGGAATCTCTCGTGGCGAGAGCGATGATGTCAGAGCACGAAACGGTGGCCGGACACTTGGCCTCGAGCTGTCTTTTGGCCTCATCGATTATTTCGTAACCTCTGACGCTTAAGTTCGGTCCCGCGTCCTTCTCGGATGGCCTTCCGGGTATTGAATCGATGAGAAGGGAAGCATCACAACCCTATGGAACAATTCAAACAAAATCAAGCAAGGCTCAGTTAACTAATACAGCTACGCATGCATGTTATGAAAATATTATTTTGATATAAAAAAAATGTCATATGATACTTTGTTAGATCAGGTTTTATAGAGAAAACTTGTTATACGGACCGTGACGAAGCAGTCATGGAAGTGCATACGAAGCAGAGCGGCGGTGATGGATCGGTCACTGCTGAAACTGCTCACGACAGTCGCGACTATGGATTCGGCCGGAGGGCATGTACGGTCGTAGAATCCGAATTCGAGCTGTCCTAATACGGCCGGAAATATGAAGAGAATGACGAGAAACGAGATCGGGATCGGCCTCATGATGGTTTGTACGTGTTTTTGCCTCTTCTCTTCCAAGAACTAAGAAATATGCATGGGATTGTTATGAAGTTGTCAAGTCATTACAAAAGCAAATATATATATATATACACACACACGTTTGTACACATTGTTGAAATTAGCGATGGTAGAAATCGTCGTCTTAGGCGGTAATGGTAGTTAATTATTTTGCCAATTGGGAATTACTTTATATGATCAATCATTGTCTTGTTGTTTTTGTATATTATCGTTTTGGAAACTATTTCATGCATGAATTAGTTATATATTTAGAAGAATAATTCAACGAGTTTCATCTAATAATCTTGATATATTAGTTATATATGTGTTGTGTATTATATATGTTAGTGGAGACAGACGGAGTCCGATAGCTTTTATTTTCAATTAAATCGAACTTTAACTTTGATTTCGAAAATTTATGAGATTTTTCCGACTGGTATTCGAGTAAAATTTAAAATCGTATATACTTGAGAGATATATTTGACCAAATTTATTAAAATTGCGAAATCTGCTTATATTATATTTGATTCATATGTAATGCTTTTACAAATCACAGTAACTCATGCGCATGAAAATAAAAGGAAACTTGTGTCGCAAGAAAGCAATCCAACAACTGTATATATTCTAGAGAGAGAATAAATACGGCCTCCTAACACTCTCAACAACACCGAGCCAATAATTAAAACGGCAATTAAAAAAACGATGGATAGATAATTATTTCGTTTTACATTAAAATTGAAAACCTCAATAAAGTTGGAACAAAAATCAATACAATGACAAAATCAAGATTCCAAGACAAAACACACATTTGACAGTTTATTTGGAAGAAAAGGCACGCAATGGAAATTGGAATGGAAAGCTAATAATGATCATTAAGATGATCTATGAGTCAGTGGCCGTTGTTGAAGACTCTGCAGTTCTTCCTGATCTCACCGGCACGACCAGAGAGGAACCTTCTGGTCCCCATCTTCACGAGGGCCTGAGCGAATTTACGATTGAAGAGGGCATTGTCTTTGGCATAACTCATGATGATCCCTCGGGTCCTTCCGTCAAGACCGAGGCTCTGATCAATCCTTAAGACTCCTCTCTGTCTCAGAACTTCCAAACACAAGCCGTTGTCCACTTTGAATGAGGTCCTCTGGTCCAAGAACACCGTTGGATCGTTAGGGGCACGGCATTGGTTCCTCAACCTGCAGATGGGTGGACTATCAGAAAGTCTCGTATCGAAAAAAGTATCAACACACTCTCTCTCAACAAGAATAAGAAAGAGACTGAAGAATCTTGACGCACTTAGCATTCAATGTGCGTTCCATGGCAGGGTCTGCGATTCTGTCTTGGATGAGACTACAATGGATAACACCGATGGTGTGACCACCAATAACGAGAGTAACCATATCAAAGAGATTGAGCCCTACAGCCCCAAAGGCCTGAATGGCGTCCGTCACTGGAATCGTGGGTCCGGGCAAGTTGACGTCAGCAGGATTCGACCTCAGGCTGTCACGTCTTCCAGTAGGCACAGCATACCTCAGACCTCCTGCTAATGTAACCGCGTCCCTCGTGGCCAGAGTGACGACGTCAGCACACGAGACGGTGTGAGGACAGTGAGCCTCGAGCTGTTTCTTGGCCTCATCGATGATTTCGTATCCGTCCACGCTTGCGTTTGGCCCTGCGTTCTTCTCGGACGGCCTTCCGGGTTTCGGGTCGATGAGCAGCGAAGCGTCACAACCCTACGTAACATTTCAAACAAAAAAATAATAATGATTTCTACTTAGTTTGGTATACATGCATGCAAATGTGTTCAAGCGCGTATTTCGTTATGGAAGTTTAAAATTGGAGAATCCGAAAACTTGAATACTACGAACCTTGACAAAGCAATCGTGAAAATGCATGCGAACAAGATCGGCGGCGATGGACCGGTCACGGCGGAAGTGTTTGGCGACGACATTGGTGACTATGGACTCGGCATGAGGGCACGACCGGCTGTAGAATCCGTACTTGAGCTGCGCTAAAGCAGCCGGAAATACGAAGCAGAAGAGGAAAAACGTCACCGCTATTGCCCTCATGGTTTCTGATGGTAATGCTTTTCCTCTTCTCTCTTCTGATACTTAGAAATAATTTGAACTGCTATGAAGCTATGGCTGCAAGACCAAGCATATATATATACGGAAACGTCGAGCCATGAAGCCAATGTGTTTGCCTATGAAGACGTGCTCCCACGATAATTTGGAATATTGTTCGTTAGAGTCTGGAAAACGATGGTAGAATGTGTCTTCTTACGCGGTGACGTTCGTTACAGATTCGTGGCCAATTTGCAATTATCTTATGATATATCGTTTGTTTGATTTTGTATATTATAAAGTTGGGGAGAATGATACCGCATACCTAATGCACGGTTTTTGTTTTTGTCTTTTACTAATTTTCGCTCGAATTATGATATAAAATATGACGATATTGATATTATGTACATTTGGGAATTTCGATTTAAAATAAAATAAAGAGAACGTGAGGCCTTGAAGAGGCTAGAGTAAGGAAACATGTATAAGATTTTGATCTCTTGGGCAAAATTGAGAAATGGATATCGAAAGGATATATAACTGGAGAAGGTACATAGTATATAAAAAGGGGGAAAAAGTCAGAGGAGATGGGCAATAATCAATTTCTTCTCAGGATTTATACAAATAGTTTTTGCATATTGGATATTGAATACAATGTAATTATTTGATAAATGGCTGTAATATAAATTAAATATTCTTGTATCAAGTGATCCAATTGTTGTATTATTGTTGTTGCTTCGATGGATAATGTCTTTTTTTTATAATCTGGAAATTTATCGGGTCCTTAATTCAATTATATCCAAGAGAATATCGAGAAATCTATGTAAACATACATCCTCTCCAATCTGGATCGTGAAGCATTTGGGTTGACCTGCAGTTTTTTTTGGTAATTTTGTCTGCCGAGGCCGAAGACTACAACTGTATCCGACATTGTGCCTACAAAGACATAAAAAGAAAAAAAAAAAATCAAAAGTCAAAATTACATTATTCGCATTTGGTGATACGTCGATTTTGTTTTATTTTTTATTTTTATTTTCTATTTATATAACGAGCAAGTGTAAAGTTGGCGCCACGATCTTCTTCCAAAAATCTCCTACTTGTATATGTACGAGCATATTTTATGGCTAACAAAAGCTGAAATATATTAAACAAACAAGTACAATGACGGATGCAGAGAAAGCAATATATATATATATATATATATATAAGTTAAATTCCAATACTCAAAAGGAATTATCAAATAAAGAAACTATCGATAAAAATAAAGAAATAACGCAAATAATGTTTCTTAAAAAGTTGTAAGAATATTTATTAAATTCCTTTCTATTGTTTTCTAATCAGTTAGACACTTGTATATTTTGAGGCCCTCACTGTCTTTCATTGCATAGTGGAAATATTGTATAGTATGTTATAATTTAAACACTCATGCCATTGGCGACGTTAATTTGCTCAAATGTCGTCCGTTTTTCCTACTTGATGACATGGCAGGTTAATTTGCTGACATGGCGTATGACGTGTTTACATGGCAAGCCAACAGTTCCATTCGTATAATTTACATGGTATAAAATTGCTAATTAAAGAATTAACTGTATAAAGTTATATCTGTACAGTTTATATTTATCCTTTATTAGAAAAAAAAATGAGTAAAGAGTTTTCAATTTGCAATCTATGGAAGAATATTTTTTTTAATAATAGTTGGTGCAATGAGATTTAAAGGAATAACATATTTTTTTTTTATAATTAGGATGGTTTTCTGAGCATTCGGTCTGACTATATCCATCTTAGATCCGAGATCAAGCTTTGTACATAGACCATTTTAGTCTAGAAATTACATCTTTTACCACCCGTGAAATTGAATCTAATACCTTGGGGCAATCTTCACAGATACCCTTCTTGCGTCACATCTCTATCACTGATACACCCCTCAAAATGTATAAAAAAAAACTATCAGATTATACATCCTAATTAAAGTAAAATGACATATATAACCTGAATAAAAAAATAATCAAAATACCCTAATGAATTAAAATTTAAAAACGTGCACTACACTTCAAGTTCCATCATCTTCTCCCTCTTCCGTCGACACTTTTCTCCTGTTGTGTTCTCTCTGTTTCATCGCCATTAAAGGTAAATCATCTCCAAATCTTAGTTTTTTTTTCTTCAGTTTATTATGCAATTGAAGGCAAATTTCGGTGAAGATATAAGATTCAAGTAAGACCCAATGATTTTCGAGTATTATTATGTTGTTTTTTCTGTTATAGGGTTTGATATTATGAAATAAAAAATACTGTACACATTGCTGTAAAGAACGAAATTTTGGAGAAAATGATAAATGTTGATGTTTTTACAGGAATATGGATGATTATAAAGATTGTTACACATCTATTTTGGGAAAAGAATGAAGATGCAATATTTGAATGGAAAAGAGAGGAAGACAATCGGAAGACTATATGTGTCTGTAACAAAGCAAGTCAGGTGACATATGAAGAGCTTGTTCGATTTATATGTGATCAGCTTAAAATGGAATTAGCGACACCAAAATTAAGCTTTTTATCGATGGTCGTTGATGGAAAACAACCAGAATATATATTTGACGATATGGGTGTAAAATCCTTTTTGTTCAGCAAGACAAATGGACGACGAGGATGGATAAATATCGAGCAAAAGGATGATATGAATGTGTTGCATGTAATACGTGTGTAGGTGAAGATAAGGGTGGAGATATTGCAAATACCAAAGAAGGTAGAGATATAATTGAGACATGCGGTTTAGTTGTAGATTGTGTGTTAGGAAAAGTAGATGGAGAAGATAGAGAACATAATCACGATACATTGTTTGGAGATTCTTGTCGGGTTGAGCATCAGATTTTGCATGAGGACATACGACATGACAATGAAGTGGAATCTGCGACTAACGAAACTGAAGTTGAAATTACGACTCAGATGGGTAATATAGATGAAGCAGAGATATTTAATGAAGTTGAGAATGGTGGTCGAATACATGAGGGTGGTCGTGATATGGTTTTTTTGATAATTTTTGGGATGTATTTTGGGATGAATTAACGTTTGTATGTTTGTTGAAAAATCATGTATGGTCGTAAATAAGTAGCAATGTATAAGTTACAAATGCGAAATATTGAGAAAGTAGTTGCAATTGTCAAAAAGTAATTGAGATGAAAAAGAATGAAAACGTCAATAAAAAAACAAGTAAAAAAGTCAAAAAGTCAAATTACAACAAAAATATATTAAAACAAATAAAAAATCATAAAAAAAGTCAAATATCTGACATATCGAAAACGGTGTGAATTTGTCGTATTGTCTATCGTAACCAATTTTTTACAACTCGATTTGTCATTGGTGGCCACAGCGTCGGTGTTATTCATTGCAGTCTCATCCAAGACAGAATCGCTGACCCTTCCATGGAACGCACATTGAATGCTCAGTACGTCAAGATTCTTCCCCCCTTTTTTTTCTTAACTCTGGTCCAGAGAGAGATGTATGTGAACCCTGAAAAAGAGAGAGACTTTACACTTCTTATCATTCGAACAACATATTATGTGAGACAGTTTCTGATGGTCCATCACTTGCAGGTTGAGGAACCAATGCCGTGCCCCGAACGACCCAACGGTGTTCTTGGACCAGAGGACTCCGTTCATAGTGGACAACGGACTGTGTTTGGAAGTTCTAAGACAGAGAGGAGTCATGAGGATTGATCAGAGCCTCGGTCTTGATGGAAGGACCCGAGGGATTATCTCGAGTTTCGCCTCAAACAACGCCCTCTTCAGGCAGAGATTCGCTCAAGCCATGGTGAAGTTGGGGACCAGCAGGTTCCTTTCTGGCCGTGCCGGTGAGATCAGGAGGAACTGCAGGGTCTTCAACAACGGCCGTTGATCGAACTTAACTGTCATTACTTCTGTTTCAATTTCCTTTAGTTCATCGACCGTGTACTTTCTTTCTAATAATCTGTCGAATGTGTGCTTTTCCTTGTACTCTTGTATTTTTTTTCTTTCTTTGTACTGATTTTTGTTCCAACTTATTGAGATTTTCCGTTTGTTATGCTCATTGAAATAAGGATCAAGTGATTTCATCAAAAGCTCTATCAATAATATCTTCTTCCTACCCAACAGTTGGTGAGTCGTCAAGGTATTGGGCAAACTTCACCGTTACCCCTAGTGCGTCGCAATGTATCATAGATACACCCTAAAAACATAAGGAATTAACAAAAGACAAAGATGCCCTTATAAAAGTTGGAAAAGTCTTTGTTGCCCTTAATAAAAATGAGCGTGTGAGAAAAAACACGTGTGCGAGTGGGTGAAAGTCCATCAGATTTGCCAGGGGCCCATTTGCCAGAGTAGAAAGGGGAAAAAAAGAGTTAGGGTTTTTTACTGTCCTTTCGAAAACAAACAGAGAAACACCGAGAGCGCGGGTGAAGTGCGAAAATTTTCAGAAATCTGGTGAAATGGAGCGAAATCCACCGAGATCGAGTGTAGAAGGGTCACATGGAAGTGATTCATCTTTGTCAAGTGGCGAAGCCTCACATGGAAGTGATTCATCAGGGTCGTTCGAAAAAACAGATTCGCATAGAAAAAGGACCGAGGATTCTTCTCCGAATTCAGATGTGAATATTTTTTTTCTGAACTTTCTTCGAATGGATAGAAAAATGGAAAGAGAGTTGGTTTTTTATATAAGTTCGAAACTTTTGGTTAATGATTAAACAGTTAGAATATGGTTGAATACAATCATTTATATAAAGGGTGAGACTTCAGCCCAATACACAACAACCCCTCCCGAGACATGTCTGCATAGAGAAGATGTGGATGGTGAACCGGACATGGTGATTTTTGATGTTCTTAACGCATTAGACCAGACAGAAGGAGTGGAAGAAGAAGAAATCGTAGTAAGAGAGAGAAAAGAACAAGAAGAAAAAGATGATCCAATAGTGGTTGAAAGTGAGAAACAAGAACAGAGAAAAGAAGCGGAGAAAGAAGCAGTCAATGAGAAAGAGGGAGGAGTTGAGAAGGAAACTGGGAAAGAGGGAGAGAAAGAGAAGGAGGGAGAGAAAGAATCTGAGAAAGAGAGAGAGAGAAAAGCATACACAGAGGGAGAGAAAGAAAAAAACCAACTCTCTTTCCATTTTTCTATCCATTCGAAGAAAGTTCAGAAAAAAAATATTCACATCTGAATTCGGAGAAGAATCCTCGGTCCTTTTTCTATGCGAATCTGTTTTTTCGAACGACCCTGATGAATCACTTCCATGTGAGGCTTCGCCACTTGACGAAGATGAATCACTTCCATGTGACCCTTCTACACTCGATCTCGGTGGATTTCGCTCCATTTCGCCAGATTTCTGAAAATTTTCGCACTTCGCCCGCGCTATCGGTGTTTCTCTGTTTGTTTTCGAAAGTATAGTAAAAAACCCTAACTCTTTTTTTTTTTCCTTTCTACTCTGGCAAATGGGCCCCTGGCAAATCTGGTGGACTTTCACCCACTCGCACACGTGTTTTTTCTCACACGCTCATTTTTATTAAGGGCAACAAAGACTTTTCCAACTTTTATAAGGGCATCTTTGTCTTTTGTTAATTCCTTATGTTTTTAGGGTGTATCTATGATACATTGCGACGCACTAGGGGTAACGGTGAAGTTTGCCCAATACCTTGACGACTCACCAACTGTTGGGTAGGAAGAAGATATTATTGATAGAGCTTTTGATGAAATCACTTGATCCTTATTTCAATGAGCATAACAAACGGAAAATCTCAATAAGTTGGAACAAAAATCAGTACAAAGAAAGAAAAAAAATACAAGAGTACAAGGAAAAGCACACATTCGACAGATTATTAGAAAGAAAGTACACGGTCGATGAACTAAAGGAAATTGAAACAGAAGTAATGACAGTTAAGTTCGATCAACGGCCGTTGTTGAAGACCCTGCAGTTCCTCCTGATCTCACCGGCACGGCCAGAAAGGAACCTGCTGGTCCCCAACTTCACCATGGCTTGAGCGAATCTCTGCCTGAAGAGGGCGTTGTTTGAGGCGAAACTCGAGATAATCCCTCGGGTCCTTCCATCAAGACCGAGGCTCTGATCAATCCTCATGACTCCTCTCTGTCTTAGAACTTCCAAACACAGTCCGTTGTCCACTATGAACGGAGTCCTCTGGTCCAAGAACACCGTTGGGTCGTTCGGGGCACGGCATTGGTTCCTCAACCTGCAAGTGATGGACCATCAGAAACTGTCTCACATAATATGTTGTTCGAATGATAAGAAGTGTAAAGTCTCTCTCTTTTTCAGGGTTCACATACATCTCTCTCTGGACCAGAGTTAAGAAAAAAAAGGGGGGAAGAATCTTGACGTACTGAGCATTCAATGTGCGTTCCATGGAAGGGTCAGCGATTCTGTCTTGGATGAGACTGCAATGAATAACACCGACGCTGTGGCCACCAATGACAAGAGTAACCATGTCATTGACGTTGAGCCCTTGAGCCGCAAAGGCTTGAATGGCTGCAGTCACTGGAATCGTGGGTCCCGGCAAGTTGACGTCAGCCGGGTTTGACCTAAGACCGTCACGTCTTCCCGTAGGCACAGCGTACCTCGGACCGCCGGCTAATGCAACCACATCTCTCGTGGCGAGAGTGACGATGTCAGCGCATGAGACAGTGCGAGGACACTGAGCCTCGAGCTGTCTCTTGGCCTCGTCGATGACTTCGTAGCCTCTCACGCTTCCGTTTGGCCCTGCGTTCTTCTCAGACGGCCTCCCGGGTCTCGGGTCGATGAGAAGAGAAGCGTCGCAACCCTACAAAAAATGATTCAGTTAATGCCTTTTGTTATATATATTCAATGCCATGCATTCATGGCACGCTTATATTTCACGTAGAATCTGTAGCTCAATATATAATTATATGGTGCCATTAGATGAGGAAACCAATTGAATTTGTTCCATTAGATAGTCAAGACCGATTTTAATTTATGTATCGATTTATTTGGGTACAAACAATATAAAGTTACGTACCCTGACGAAGCAATCGTGAAAATGCATACGAAGAAGAGCGGCGGTGATGGAGCGGTCACGGCGGAAGCGGTTGGCAACGACATTGGCGACAATGGACTCGGCACGAGGGCATGACCGGCCATAGAATCCGAACCGAAGCTGAGCTAAAGCAGCCGGAAAAACGAAGCAGAAGAGGAAAAATGTCACGGCGATTGCCTTCATGGTTTCGAATGTTTTTTTTTTTGCTCTTCCTCTTCTCTCTACAAACACTTGGAATATCTTTGGAATATGTGAATGTTTGGTCCGGATGATGAAAATGTGAATGCTTTGGAGCTCTATTTATACGCGTAGATGTTTGAGAAGAGGAGAGATTCTGCACGTTATGTCGAGACGTGCGTGATTGAAAGTTACAAGACTTGGCCAAATGATTATATACATTATGCATTTCAATTATTATTCGGTTTTAGAAATATTGAAATATATTCAATGTCAGAAACCGCCTTACACACGTTAACGCTTGTTAAGCTTGTGGCCAATTGGGAATTGTTGGGTTTTGCATATTGGCATTAATAATAATATCAATTTTGCATAGTTCAAAGAGAATAATTGTTTATATTACACAATATGTACGGTAATCGACATCTGTCAAATGTTTGAATTGGTTATACTTTCGGTGGTAATTATACCGTTTTTTATATTAAATTTCACATTTTGTGAAATTTAATATAAAATTAACAAGTGTATTCTTATTCTTCATTTCGAGACATCGTTTGAAACATTCTTATTTTTATAGGGCTATTTATGTTTGCTTTGTCTAAGATATTTTTAATAATGTATTTTAAATGATGCTTAGGTTTTATATTATTTTTTTAAAGAGAGAATTTAACGTCCGTTTTTTGAAATAAAAAAATGATAATTGTAACTTTGATATATGGAAATGTTTATTCTCATAAGTTTTCAATTTTTATTGAAAATCTTTGAAATTTAATAGTATTTTAATTTTAACACAATCTTTTAAAATGTTTGGAGAAATATTATTTACTTAGGTTTTATAATATTTCAAATTTTTTTAACAATTTAAAGAACGTAGAGAGAGGCTACCATTTGGATTCCGAGAAGTCGATTTCTGTAATGTTCATCCATAGCAAAACGTGGTCAAAGTGACATTTAATTATAACATATATATATATATATTTTTGGTGAAGATTATAACATATATATACACACACTCACACATATATAGCCTCAAATATACGAGTTCTGACCGATTAGAAAGCAGCACATAGGATTTTGATATACATTGTTAAGCGAGTCATAACTTTGACATTAAATATAAGGTAGCATAACCCAAGATCGGGTGGTTTAAATGATAAGGAAGTAAGCAAAACTCTTTTCCAACCCAGGTTCGATCTTCATTAATTGAAGATGGGTATT